GTGATGGATACTTCAGTGGCCCCAGCTCCACTTTCCCTGGGGACAGGAATAGAGCTTGGTCTACAGCACTGCTGCCAGACACACAGATGTACCCTGGAAGGGGTGTAGGTGGACCTGGGCATTTTGAAATGTTTGAAATTCAGGGCAAAACAAAATGATTACTTATAACTTGAACACAGATGTTCAAATAATTAAATCTCCTCAACCCCACAAACCTGGGGGTGGCTGGTCCATCATTACAGCCACGTTGTTTGAATAAGCATGGTTTAAACCCATCGAGCTTTAATTAAATTCTAGTCAAGATCTCAAGATTTCTAAGCATATCAGAATTATTATTGCAAAAAGTTGGCTGGTTGGATTTGAAACAGCTTCCACAAAGCCAGGAACAAGTTCTACTGGACACTGTGTGATTGTGATATTTATCCTAAGGTGTCCTGTGTACATCTTTCAGTTACTGTACTCTGTAGTTGCACCTAACTTGTCAGATAATTTTACAATTAGGAAAATATTGTTCACATAATGTAGATGCATTGCCTTCTAATCGTGTTTTTTTTTTGTTGTTGTTTTTTTTTTAATCAGTTTTCAAACCAGATGTAATTGCATGTCCACATCTAAAGATCAGTGTTGTTGGAATTACAAAGTCCTATTATTTTATTAACTCCTTAGGTTCACCCCACAGTCCACAGAGTCTCCTAACTACTGTCATTGTTACATCCGTGATGGGAGCTGCCTGTATCCCTGACTCATGAGCTCTATCAGGCATCCTCCTGTGACGTTGAATTGGAATGCTGAGAGTCACCATATCTTTGGTCCACACACACTGCTGGCACCATTCCTCTTGGTTTACCTCAGCGTTTGCATCAGAGTGTGAGACATGCGCTTTGGGAGATTTGGGAGGAGTGAGACAGAGAAGTAGAGAATATTCCAGTTCACCCAGTATGTGTCACTGGGTCATACACTTCCTGCCAGATCATACAGCCAGATGAGGGTGTCTCAGCACTCACTGGCTGCTCTGTTTATACAGTCTATATGAGTGTGTGTGCGTGCCAGTCTTAGGAAAAAACGTTACTCGTTGCAAGAGCATAATACTCAAGGCTCTCACACATCTCACTGTGAGATCATAAACACTAACAACTGGCCATATAAAGGCAAAATATTTCTTTTCTCTCTTCACTAATTGGCACTGTAGTCTTTCTGTCACTCCTCCTTTTCCCTCTATTTTCCTGGGTGGAGTTTTTGCTAAATCTTTGAAGGTGGGTGAGGAATGTGGAATAGAAGTTGGGAGAAAGCAGAGTGGGTACAATCTGGTCAGCCTATTTCACTCGGCGTGTGTCAAGACAGCTCCCTCTCTTAATGCCATTTCAGCTTCAGATATAATAAAGTTATAAGAGAGCAGCCACTTTTCTCCTCTTGGTTTGGTAGTGGAGTGAGATATATTGATTCCCAGATGCTCTAATAGTTCCTCTGCATCACAGGAGTGGTCCAGGCATGAACATGTGTGGTCTTAGAAGACGAAATCTAAAAGGAGCTCAGTCTGAAAATTTGAGTAAAAAAAAAAAATAATA